AAATGTCTAGGATGCTGGCTTGGATTTTTAGGCACAGTTTTGGATTTTTCAACGGGCTTGCTTAGAAATTCCGTTCAAGTGATTTTCTTTTCCCAAATTTATCTCTGCACTCAGAGCTTATGTTAGTAGATAGCAGCCAAGGTTGCATTAGAAAGAGCATAAATTGCTCTTCAACATGGTTTTAGTCATGCAGAAATATTTTGTTAGGGAGAAGTTATGATTTTTTGAAAATGGTGGGACAGAACTTTCGGACCAACCTAATAAAATCAATCTGCTTGAAGTTACAGCGATTTGGAAAAAAAATTTTTCGCAAGTGCTCGGGAACTTTCTTTACAACCTAATACCAAAAACCCTAGCGTAACAAAGCAGTGCTCATGAATGTGGGCTAATCCCCAACGATGGAGGTCGCTTTGCGAAGCGGATGCGAAGGCGTTCACGCGCTTTTCATGAGTGAGCACGTACGCCGGTGCGTCAGCCTCGCTTCCACTGGCAGTCGCTCCAGTTTGAGACTAGCTGATGACATTTCGTAAGTACAGTGATAGACACTGCCATAAATTCACTAGAGATTACGTAGTTGAGTTTTTTTTTATGAATATGTCTGAAACTGCTGTATAATACGCATGTTAGCCGATCATAATTTAAACTTCTTCCGATCCCTTTGATTTTGAACGGAGAAGAGCATTCTCGAACCACTACCGCGGATTTTAACTCCCAAATCTTTTTTGTACAGTTAAGTAAGAGAACTTGAAGCATTTGCATTTCCTACAACCTGCCCTCCTTTTCATAAAAAGATGATCATTGCCATTTTTGTCTGTAGAAACATCAAAAATCAATCTGCTTTCACAAACTCTGTGAGGTTGGTCTTTCTTTTCATCGTTCAGGTCAAAAGCGCAATAAAATGTGGCACCCGCCATGAATTCCTCGGACTTGTGCATGCACGAGATAAGCGCAAACTGCGCGACAAAGCGATCGCCTGCGCATTTTCTTGTAACTTTTAAGATGCAGCTTAGCAAGCTTCGAATGAAGAGAGGAAGGACTTTCAGAAAAAAAGAAGGTTCGATCTTTGCGTGAAAACTCTGAAAATGAAAATTGTAAATTTGGACTGGAAATGCTGGCTGTGAGTTTAAACGGCGCTATTTCAGTATCCGGACCCAAAATTTCAAAGTCGTGAATTTCACTAAATCTTGGTTTACAAAGATCACAAATATTACATTCCTTTTGTTTACAAAAGTTGTCATTTGGTAGGGCAGCGGTTCATACGGTAGGGGGTCAAAATAACCGCTTTTGGTCTAGGGGTTTCCTGACCTGCTGATCGCGAATATCATACTCTTTCTGCATAGGGCTTCCCATAGAAATACGGTAGGTATAAGTATAGGGTATGGAGTCGAAACCAATTTGGTCCAAGCTTCCTACGGATTTATCTAGATCGCTAAACATGAATCACACATCTTCTCAATATCCATTTTTCTATTACGGTCTGAGTACAGTAGATGTTCTTAGTTTTAAATCTGCTCACTCTTCGCCTAGAAGGGTTTTCAAGCATGTTGATTATGAATATTATGCTTGCTCGCTGCATTAACGCGTTATTGTGGAATTACGATAATTTGCGGCGTATGGATGGACATTTTTCTTCGGGTCAATTAGAGCGCAAAATTTCACCCGAAGGCTTTATCATGCGAAATGGGCACGTTTTTCATCAGCAAGCCAGACAACTTCCCTGTACTATTTTTCAGGTAGGTCTATGATTTTGACTCTTTACCATATACCTACCGTAATTCCACCAAAAGGTTCCAAAACGCAAAGAGAGTATGGTGCTTGTAGTCAGCATGTGGAACAACCCTTTCTGACCAAATTGCAGTCACTTAAGAACTTGTCCCCATACCGTAATCTACCATAACTTTATGAAAGGGCCCTATGTTGCAAGAATATGATACCTTCTACGTATACCACCCTCTACATATACCACCTAGCCCCCAGAAAATGAAGATACGCGCATCGGCGGGTTCAGTAACACCCTAGATCAATTTTGAGCGGGATCCACCGACCAGCAATTTTAGGGTCCGGATAACAGCGCAGTTCAAACTTTCGCAACATGGCCATCAACATTTGAATCGGGCATTGGCGTGGAATTTGATGTGGTAACTTGGCTAGTAAACTGTTGGATAAAGTATTCTTCTACGCAAAACTGGTAGAAGTAACAGGAGAACGTTTCAATGCTGTGAATGGGAGAAGAAAGCAAAAAAGGACGAGAGAAAATTTGACACGGGGTTTTGGCAATACGAAGTGTTAAAAGAAGTGTGGAACAGGCATGGCTTGAGAAAAGAATTCGAGAAAGAGGGTATGGGAATTTGACTTGAAAAGATGAGGGAAACGCTGTGAGCATTTTGACTTTCTTGACGATCTTCCCCGTCTCCGCAAGCGGAAACACTTCAGAAAAGGGGAGGATACTGTGACTTTAAGCCAGTAAGCTTTTTAAAAAAGGGTTTCGTAAAGACGGGACAGCTTTTTAAATAACGAAGAAAGAGTGGATAACTTGACTTTGGAGTTCTAGGAAGTCAAAAGATCAAGAAAAATTAAAAGCCCTAACCACTAGACCACTCGACACCATCACAAATTTTCGAAATCAGCCGTGGTTTAATGCTTTCCCGAAAAATCGTTCCGCAGATAACGAACAGGGTTTTGAGATTAGTGTTTCAATGCGAGCTTCATGTAATATCTCACATTGCGAAAGGACACGGTCACCAAGTACCTTTCCCCCCGTAAGGACCATAGAGAAGAGAGCTACGGAAAGAATGCTTCTTTCTGAGAAGGAAGCGCAGGGCGAGTTTAGAGAGAAAGCAGAGATGTAGGGTGTGCATGTCAATTTTTGAGAATGAGCTTCACTAAATGCGACATTTTTTCTCAATTCTCAGCGATAATCTTTTATTTGATCTATATATTCTTCTTCAAGCAATCGTACTCTTGTCATTTAATGCGTAGCATGCTTTCCAGCATGAGTTTCCAATCAAAACTTTACTAAACGAAGTTCACTAGCTTTTACGTCATTGAAAAGTGTGTTATACGAGGCTTTGGCAACCCAATGCGACATTTCTCACACCTGATAGCCATTGGGCCGTAGGTCATGCCTGTTATACGAGGCTTTGGCAACCCAATACGACATTTCTCACACCTGATAGCCACTGGGCCGCTAGTCATGCCAAAAGAGCATAACTGACTGCAATAAGGGGCAAATTACACAACGTCTTAACTCCGCAAAACTGCAGAACATCTGCTTTCTTTAGCAATTCTTTCAGTTGAGCTGACAAGGGAACCGTGTCGAGTCGAAGTGGCCTTTCCAGATGAGACCCATACTGCTTTGAAGAGTATTAAGCGGTGATTCGAAATCTGCCTTCCAAATCTGCCAAGCGCCTCTGGACGCCGAGTTATGACCGTTCTTCAGAACGAAAAATGAATGCAGAATTCAGGTAAAATCAATAGTTACAACTTTCCAGCGCTCAGATAAAGCAATGTTGAGTATTAGCATTTCAATTAAAATGTATCCATTGCATAAACAGCTCTGATACTTGACGCTGGACCATCTGAGCAAATTTTGGGATTTTGTTTCAGTTTTGTGTTCAATTTTTTGACTTGTAAAACGAGCATAACTCGGCGTCCAGAGGCGCTTGGCAGATTTGGAAAGCAGATTTGGAATCACCGATTAATGTCTTCAAAGCAGTATGGGCCTCATCTAGAAAGGCCACTTCGACTCGACAAGGTTCCCTTGTGAGTTTACAATTGGCAGAACAAAAGTTGTAGAGATTCTCACTAGAAATTTGGGTCACAAGATTAACAGTATGCATCAGCGCATGCAGTGTTCAAGTACCTCGGGATGAGATTTCATATATGTGACTTGATTCAAAATTACAAGGGAAGGTACATGACTCGCAGCGGAGTTTCCCTGTGAGGCGTATATCAGTCGAAAGGTCTTTGAGCGCTGATTTCAAAGCAACCTTCCATATTTGTTTATGTTTACTGAACAAAGTTACAGGCTTTTGTTTGATCTCAAATGACACTGATTTTGGTTGCTCATTGCAGGACTAAGGCGGCAGAGTAGCTTTGAAACTAGTCCCATCAAATTTTTTATGCACAATAAATATATCTCAGACATTTGAGCATGTAACTTTGGACCAAATTCGCATTTACTACGAATTAGGTCATTTGCAAAGTACCCGATTATGCAAATTGGACGCGGAAAAATGCCCCCTAACTCTGTTCAGTAAACCGATAAGCGAATATGAAAGGTTGTTTTAAAAACAGCGTTCTAAGACCTTGCGAGTGATATGCACCTCATAGGGAAACTCCAGTGCGAGTCACATACCTTTCCTGTTTAGTTATAATAGTATCAAATAAATCACTTGCCGCAACACGCAGATGTGGTCGCTTGTAAAATAAAGAATTCTTTAGAATTAAAAAAGAACAAGGAATAAAGAATTTTTGAAGACAAATTTGAGAGGTAAGGGTTGGGCCAGATTATGCGGCGTACGCGGTGTAGTTTGGCCCAACCCTTACTATTCAATTTTGTCTTCAAAAACTGAAGACAAATAAGATAAGGGTTCGGCCAGACTGATCATGCCGAGCGCATGCTGCGTAACGTACGCCGTAAATTCAGAGTGGTCTGACCCAATCCTAAAATAGTCTGTGGAGGTAATACTGCCTATGTTAACCTATTACATTCTTTTCTACTATAAAAAATTATATATTTGATTTTGCGAACACTGTGAAAATTACCTTTATGGTAACATTCTTAAGCATAACTGCATTTTGGCAAATTTGCTTCGGAGCTTCATAATTCATTATTTTGAAAAGTTGTTCTATCAAGAGCTGGTAAGAGCTAGAAAAAGCAAGAAACTTCTTTTTGGGTAATGCTCGTAATACTGCAAAATGTGCAAAACGTTGAGAAACTAAGATTCGTTTCGAGCTTCCAAAACATTCTAGTTTGAGAAAATTCAGTCTCAACCAACCAAGTCGCTCATGTTTTTAGCAGGAGGTAGTAATGCACCATCCGCAGTAGCTTGCAAACCGTCTGCTAAATTTCTTCTTGGCTGATTCAGTTTGTCAATTATTGCAGTAGCGTTTTCCTTTTCAATGGTGCCATTGGGACATAGCGGTTCCGCTTAATAGCTTGTTCTTGTCAATAAAAGACACTTCAACAGAACACTTACCAATGCAAGTTGCCAGAAAAAGGGTCACCTTAATTTATACCAATTGCAAATTTCCAGAAAAAACAACAATAACAAGAGGGCGCAACTGCTAAGGCTAAAACACTCAAGAGCGCGTTGTAGACGTGCAACTAACAAGTATATACTTGTACTCCATCTAATTGCGAAAAGCTTCTCATGTGAAATCAAAAGAACTCTAAGTTGAGTGTTTGTTTATTACAGAGCTGGAAAGCGCTCTCGAGCATCCTAGTCCTAGAGCGGATGATAGATATTACCGTTCCAATGTTGATGTACAGCATGCTTATGTGCCGAGCAGATTATGAAGATGACCATCGCGAGTGTTATGTCTGTGAAAAAAGTGCTGTGCTAACGTGTCAACCACGTTAACAAAGTTATATGTTAGAAATTTAATTGTCAGCCTCGATGTGGGAGTTTTAGGAGCATGGCAATAATGGAAATTCAATTTATTCTATCTTTCAATTATCGAATAATCTACAGTGGTTGAAAAAGTGCTTAGCTTTATTGTGTAGCAAACAATGAAAGTATGTTAGAGAAATCAGCTTTATCGAATAAAGAATTTTTTATCTAGCAACGAAACTGATGCAAATTTTGTCAAAAGAACTCTTAGCTTGTAGTAACACCATCTCTTTCAAACGCAAATCAAAACAACTGAATATGAATAAAATTTTTACAGACAGTGCTAATCCTTCAATCGCATGCTCGTAATCTCAACCACGTGCAACAATTATCACCTGGGCTCTGACTATGCGCCGAATAGAGAAGATCGAAAACTGTGTTGTTTGGTTTTCATTAGTTCTCAATTTTTTGCAAAAAAAAATTACAAAAAACAAAAAAATCTCATCTACAGCTGAATGTCTGTTTGTCTGTATGCCTGTACGTATGTTCCGAATAGAAAATTCCATTTTCAAACCGATCCGGGCCAAACTAGGCACACATACACTTCGAGGCGGGGGTCATGGACTACTTTACGTCATCGATCGATATCGATTTTATCAATTTTTATTGATTTTTTGTAAAGTTTGGGTTACGAGGCTGGGAGTTGGCACAAGAGGTGCAATGGGTGGAGCCAGGCCCCCAAAAATGAAGGTGATTCCAGCTACCACTTGCCGGCAAAAGTGAGGTGGTAGAACTGGACATTCACCTCCCAAAAACTTCGACCCGGGGGGGAGGAGAGATTTGAAGGTCGATGTCGCAAAAAAAATTCCTTCTCAAAAGCTTCATAAGCTTTTCCACTGACTTATAAGAATGAAAAATAAGAAAAACAAATTCAAAGGTTAATAATAGCTTTTTTCTCGTTCATTTTACTTTTAGGAACTCGTCGTAGCCTACTGCGAGACCCGAAAGCCATTTTGACATGGACGCAGCTAAGTCTCAGCACTTTCCACAAATTTGGAGAACAAAGCTTCTTTACAAATTTCAAAAGCTCTAATCCAGTGGTTCTCTTTAGGGCCAACAACTGTAGCCCAACGGCTCTCCTTAGGGCCACAAGTACGATGAGTACAGCAGCATGCATATTTGAAATAAACGTGTTAATCAAATTGTGGATTTGTAAATAAAACACAGCTAAACTAAACAGTCACTTGAGCTAGATACATATGATAGGAGCGTAGGTATGAACAAGCCGAAGAGCCTTAGATCTTAAAACGTGCACATGTACTTCGTAGAAGGCTGCGAAACTGTAGGAGATCAATCTAAAATAAAGAATCTGGATCTTGCTTACTTTAAAATCCCAGTAACACAGTTTTTGTGTGTCAACGAGCCCGCCTGTAAAGCTAGCTGACTTGTACCCGTAAGCTATGTTCTATAGGAAGCAAGATTGTGTTAACTGACATAGATGAACTATAATACTTTCAAGAAAAACGGTCTAAGGTCTGGGACTAGATCTCATCGTGACCTGGAATTGTAAAAAGAACATCGGTTTGACACGACGGGTCGGTTACGGTTAGCGAAAGCATAGTCATTGTTAACAGCATCAAAACAAAAGGATGAGACTAATGAGTCTATACTACTCGATCTGGAAAGGAAAGAGGAGTAAGCAGACGTGCAATTGAAAGGTTAGATGAAGACCAAGGATTGCACTCCTAAACATCAGGGATATGCAACGTTTGTAACGTGTCTAAAAACAATTTCCTATGAAAAAACAAAACTTACTGCAAACAATTTTTTGGTAAGAGACTCGACCATTTTGAAGTGCGACAAAAAAGACCCGCGTGGCCCCTGTGTGACCCGCGTGGCTCGGCCCATCCGCCGCCATATCCCCTATTCCCCCTCACTCTTGTATGTTATGTAGATAATAAATTTTATATATTAGGTTGGCCCGAAAGTTCTGTCGTTTCATTTTTGAAAATTCATAACTTTGCGCTGGCTCAACGGATTTGCTTTGCTATATAATAGGTTGTCCCGAAAGTTTTGTCCTTTTTTTCAACCTATCATAAAAACACGAGGAATGAAGATAGGGAAACGCTTCAGGTACTATCCAACGCAGCTTTTCCTCTCTTTCTAACTATCACAATCCCAAGCCGATTACTCTCTTGCTCACTGAGATAAACGCCGAAATTTCGAACCCGTAGTTTTTACTATGTCCAAGTTTGGCAATTTTTCACAATCTTCATTTTCATCTTTTGGAAGACCTTTAATAGCGCTCAGATAGAGTAAACAAAGGGCAATGCAATGCAATTTTTTGGCTTATCCAGCTGGCTTTTCAGTATTTTTTAAGATAATTTTTTCAAAAGTCTTCACTTTTGCGAAGTCCCAAAATACAGAAACGCCTCGAACACTAACAAATCGTTGGATTTTGAAGATTTCAAAAACCGAATTATTGTTCACTATTTTTACGAAGTAAATGAGCGTTTACCGCCTCGAAATATAAGATTTCGCATTTTACGATACACGCTGGGGCGGGGTCAAATTCAAAAATTATGGAAATTTTATCAAAGAAACCACAAATTGGAGGGAAAATACACTCACTGGAAAAAGGAGGAAAAGCTGCATCGAATAACACTTTAGTGCGCCGTTTCATGATGTCTGGCTTTTGGCATCACCAAAAGTGAAATTTGATAGCATCAGAAAAATAATTCTAAAAAATTTCCAAGACTAGCTATAGATGCAGCAAAATTGCATTATATTGCCCTTTGCTTGCTCTATCTAATTGTTGCCAAAGCTTTTCCGAAAGTCAAAAATAAAGATTGTGAAAAATTGCCAAACTTGGACGTAGTAAAAACCATGGGTTAAATTTCGGCGTTTATCTCAGTGAACAAAAGAGTAATCGGCATGGAAGCATGACACTTAGAAAGAGAAGGAAAAGATGCGTCGGATAGTGCTTAAGCGCTTCCCTATCTTCGTTCCACGCGTTTTTGTGATAGGTTGATAAAACGGACAAAACTTTCGGGACGACCTAATATTTAGAACGGACAAAACTAAATCTATCGCTTTCAAATGCTTTTTTGCCTAGACCCCTCTTTGCACTAAATGGAGAGATAAAAATAGAAAAAGAAGATCATATAAACTTTGTTCATTTTAACTTAGCTTGCCAAAAATCGGGAACGGTGCAGAAAAATCTGAAATCGCCAGTACATAGATTTTTTGACCTAATCTTTCCAACTGTGAAAAAGTCGTCCTATTTGGACGTCTCCTTAACAAATTATGATTTCCGAAAAAAAGTGTCAAATTAATTGATTTTGGCGTTTTCTGTAGTAAATTGGTAATTCGTAACTTCTCACAGAGAGTCCAAGCAAGCCAATTTTTACACGGCTGGATAGAGTGGGTAAAAAAAAACTTATATGTTGAGAATTTCAGATTTTTCTCCAGCTTTCCAGATTTTTGGCGACCTAAGTTAAAATGAGCAAAGTTTATATGGTCTTATTTTTCTATTTTTATCTCTGCATTCAGTGCAAAGCAGGGGCTAGGCAAAAAAGCAATTGAAAGAGAAAGACTTGTTCTTCCTAACAAAAATATATTGAAGCAAATACGTTGAGACAGCGCAATGTTACGTTTTTTCAAAAATGAAACGACAGAGCTTTCGGGCTAACCTGATATACAGTGCCGGACATAATTATAGAGACACTCTAAAAATTGTCGTAATTTTCGTTCTTGTCAGTAAATCTGTCTGAAACTTTGCTATATGGTGCGCATGTAAGCCTACCATAACTCCTCAGAACGGCTTCCAATCCCGTTGATTTCGAACGGAGAAAAATGGAAAAATTCAAAAAAACCTGTTTTGCAAGCTGGACATAATTATAAGGACACCTGACCTTCTTAAACATTATCGCATTCCTTGACTCCCAGATTTTTTCTAGGGTCATATTCCAGAATATGAAACTTTTGCAGCATCTAGGACCTGTCATGCTACTCAAGAAAAAATGATCCTTGCATTTTTCGTTTCCAAAGGCATCAGAAGTCAAACTGCGTCAACAAACAGCTGGTTTGAGGAGTTTTCAAAGCCCGCGTTCATTTCAAATCACAGTCCTGGAATACACTCAGCCTTTTTGATAGATAAGGTAAAGAGTGCTTTCGTAAACTCCTCGTAATCGCTAATATTGACAATCAGACTCCAACCCCACCATAAGGTAGTCACGCTTTTACAACACAAAACTCACTTTCCAATGTTCGTGAAGTGATAGACTCGATTTACTACATTGTCTACATGGAAATGCATCTACTGCAATAGCTTTTTGATTTTTTCTAGTGCTGCAATTGCCATTTAGATCTGAAATACTTTCAACGAAAATTCTATGCGAGCAGTAGATTCAACATAATCACAAATCTCACTATTTTATTCTCTGTTTCATGTCGCATTTTGCGCGGTAGCTGAGATTAGCAAGATTTTGAAGTTTCAAGCGGTCTCCTGTTCGATTTCTTGATTTTTGTTGGATATGATCGTGCAGGGTGCTCGACTCAACTCTCACCGGATGACAACTGCGGCTGAACCAGAATGTGCAACTCCGAAATTAAACTCCGCGTAATCGCTGATATTGACAATCAGACCCCAACCTCACCATAGGGTTGTCGCGCTTTTGCACCACAAAACTCGATTTTCAAGTTACAGAAAAGCTGCAATGTAGCCGCAACAATGCACGTACAACATTAAACTTGTGTGCCTAGTCAGGAAAAAATTTCGGGGTTGCACATTCTGGTCCAGCCGCAGTTGTCATCCGTTGAGAGTTGAGTCGAGCACCCTGCACGATCATATCCAACACAAATCAAGAAATCGACAAAATCTTGCTAATCTCAGCTACCGCGCAAAATGCGACATGAAACAGAGAATAAAATAGTGAGATTTGTGATTATGTTGAATCTACTGCTCGCA